GACATCCTTCTTACACTAAAATAAGAAACTTTCTAAGGTTAATAAAATTTTCATATTTTACTTGTAGCATGAATTACGTGTAGTAATATTTTTTTATTTTAATTTCATATAACCTACCTTTCAATATTCCGTCTTACAAATTTATATTTTAAGTGATTTTGCTGAATAATCTATGCATGATTGCATGGACAATTTAGTACGACTTGTTGCTTGATAAAAAAGCAAAGTTACCCATACGTTTTATTGTTTTTAAAATAAAACATGGTAAAATCTACATTTTTGCACGATATAAAAAAATTCAATCCCAGGATATATATGTAAAGCTAGGTTCACACTGCCGATCATATCAACTCGATCAAGCCCGATCAAGACATATTAAGCGATCTGGAGACTGGTCTGACTCAACCGACAAGAGTGTTCGGGGTAGTCTACCTTGCTCGTAATCGATCTGCCTTTCTACCCGAGAATTTTTGACATGTCAAAAACAGTAGAGTAAGGATTGAGAAGCCTGTCAATCGAGTAGAGATCGGGAAGTCGTCGAGTAGCGGTCGAATTGAACGGGAAAGTATCGTGTAGAGATTGAGTTTGGTCGGAATACACATATTTTACCGATCAGTACTCGATCATCTCGACCTTTGCTCGAATAATATCCGATCATTTCCCGATCAACGCCAGCCTGTTTGATCTGAGGTTCATATTAACTCGAACAATGCCCGAGCGCTTCCAGATCACTGCGACTTTTTAAATTTTTTTATCCCAGACCAACTCGACAAATACCCGATCTCTATGTAACCATATTCGACCACTCTTCGATCGCTACTCGGTCATACACGAGTATACATGACTGCTACACGATTCTCTGAAAGGGTGTGCGGATATGATTAACTCTCATAACTTTGCTTCAGCGAAAATATATTGTCACTGTTTATTTTTACTTTACAAAAAAATTGATTCCGGAAAAATTCTTCAATGTACAGTACGTGTCTGTACTTCTGCAAGAAGGGTTATAATTAAAAAAAAAAAAGAGGCAAAAGATACCAAATTCAAATGTCAAAAACAAACTAACACAGCAATAGCGAAAAACGAAAACCGACGAGAAGACACACAGGAGACAACATCACAACATAGAAAACTAAAAACGTAGCAAAACGAAACCCATAAAAAACTAGGATGAAATTGGTGCTCCGAAAGGGAAGTAGATCCTGCATTTTAGAAATGGAGGATTTTTCAAATAAAGTAATTGTGCAATAAAATTCATTTTTAGAAAGCTGATGACTAATTTAGCCTTCAAAGTTGGTTTATAAGAACATTAAGATTATTTTTTACTCGTTTTATGGGTTATTTTTTGACTGTCCGTATTTTCCGTAGGTCCAGAAATTTTTGTAGTATAAAAATAAGAAGATGTGGTAATATTACCAAAGAGACAACAAACCGACCAAAGAGCAGAAAACAGCTAAAAGCCACCTGAATGGGTCTTCAACACTGCGAGAAAATACCGCACCCGGAGCCGGGTTTCAGCCGGCCCCTAAATAAAAATGTCTACTAGTTCATTGAAAATTAACGTCATACTAAACTCCAAAACATATAAATGAACTAAAATTAAAAAAAAAACATACAAGACCAACAAAGGCCAGAGGCTCCTGACTTTGGACCGGCACAAAAATGCGGCGGGGCTTATATTTACAAACACCTTTTTTCACACGAACTGTTTTACGCAATTTTACAAATAATGAGAGGATGACAAATGATTTTTATTTGATAGATATATTTAAACTGTTTCAGAAAAAAATATCACTCCAAGGGATTGAAATTCTACTTTTGACCAGATTTTGGGGAAATATGTGACATCTTAACCCCCTTTTTGCGATATGTTTTAGCAAATACATGCATGTTTTTGCCAAGGATACACCAACAAGAAATTATGTTCAAACATTCAACTACTGGATATCAAACCTATGGAAAATACTGATTACATACATATGCACATATATGACACAAACAGTAAGCTTAATTTGTAAGAAAGCAAGGAAAAGGGGACGGAAAAATATATGTATATTGCTATCCAACAAAAATACCAATCCGGTGACAAATCTCGTTTGGTGGTGTCATTTTTGTAAAGAAAAAAGAAGTAAAAACTTCCACAACATATCAGCGTCCACTCTGAGGAAGTTTTTATAACCATTGGGGTCTTGCTTGTTGAGCTCCTACAAGTCTCTCAATATGCCCATACAATTGTCGCCGTGTCATCCACTGCCTCACCTAGATATCTCGGCGCCTGATGCAGTCTACGCCTTCTTGTTCGTCTATTATGCTCTCTTCAAAGTCTGCCACAGCTATTAACCTGTCTCTCTGGAGCTCTAACCAAATTGCCCACACATCCAACTGCTTTATTTCCACGTAGATATCTTAAATGTATGATTTTCCTCGGACCTCCTGTGAACTACTGAATCTAGCCAAATAAATGGAGAATGTGTCCATTGGACATAGATAATGCCCCGCTTGTATATAACGTTATGAAGGGTCATTACTCAAGAACGGTAATAGTGGCGCCACTTAAATTCGCACTTGATCTATGTTTATGGTCATAAGCTTTGTGTATACGGTTCATAACAATTGGTTGATTCAAAATAAATTTAGAGAACGGAAACCAATTGTTGGGACGTACGTACGGACGGACAAGGTTAGCACTTAATGTCTCCTTCGCTGCGGCGGGGTATAACACATTCAGACGTTTTCTTATACTAAAAATTGTACATACCCGACCAATTCCCGACTATTCCTACGACCCCTATACGATCAGATCGATCTGGTCTGGTCGAGATCGGACTGAGATCAAGTATAGTTGATTTGGTCTAGCTAGTTGAGTAAAGATCGTGTAGAGATAGTGATATGGTCAGAATAATCGAATATGTATTTAATTAGTGGTCGGGTTGGAGTCGTGATGGAGTCATTTATGAGTCGTGAATGATCGAGGTAAAATCGTGTACAGTCGGATATCGGTCGCGTAGAAGTCGCAAGTGCAAGACCGGCTTCTTGTAGGTGTGGTTTCTGTTTTATTTTAAATAGGAGACTTTTTTGGCTTCATTTGATACGTTTGAGGGGATTGGACACGTTTGGCGGTTTTTTTTTAATGGACACGATTGGGCGTTCAAAAATCCAAATTGGTATATTTGAATTGTTTACATCTGTTTCTATGGGCTTTAAAGGTTAAATAAAGGTGCATGATTTAGAATTTTATGCATCTTATTTACGTGTTTTTACTTAAATTATAGTATGGCGCTTCGAGATATATGTAAACTTTTAAATTATAGACCGACTTTCAGAAAACAGTCGTTGTGGAAGGTGTACATACAAGTAGATCTTGTTTGTGTATAAGCATAAATTCCGCCGACAAAAATACACAGAAAGATAGAAGATTGATCACTTTAAAGCATTAATTTGCATCTCTGCCCCCGTCGACAGATTCTGTCTTGAAAACGTATACGTATAAAGCAAAAATATTTGATAAATCATCTCGCGTCAGCTTCTATTGTTTTTATATATTTAGGCCAGAGGTTGATTTAATGACAGTTAAAAAATCACAATACTAAAAAATGAAATATATTGGTCAAGTGAAATACCTTTCCAATTAGTTAGAACAACAAAAAAGGTGTGTTCGAATACCAAATTTCCACTAAAAGTACTAGACGACAGACGACAGATAAGAAGATCATTAGAGTATAGAGATTCAAAGCAACTGTTTACAATGTAATAAGTTAAATTTGAATCATTTTGGTGATAATATCAGAACTTAACAAACAAAAAATCAAAGATATGTACACAAGCTTTTTGTTGGTGTTGTTACCAGACATTTGTTATTGCAATACTTCACAAAGATCCGTCAAAATAACATTTAAACAAATAACATGTATGTTATAGGACTAACCGTAACCATGATGACCTTTTATTTTTTTAAATAATTAACAATTATTTAGATTTTTCAAAAGGTAACCAATCATCCCAGTGATATTGGGGTATATTGCTCGCCTGTGTGCGGGAGGTACAGGGTTCGACTCCCGTCTGATCAAAGTTAGACTTGAAAACTGTCATTTCATGCTTCTCAGTTAAGCACGCGGTATTTAGGAGAAAGAGAAAATACTGTCAGCTCGGAGACAGAGTAATGTGTCAGGTGATGGTTATATGTTTTCTTGCAGACTATTACTTTGTAAACTATCCCGTTTAACAAATTCTATCAGAGATATTGATCCTTATCGGATACATATATTCTCAAGCTCTTGAATAAAGATATGATCCATATTGATCTTTAGAATCAAATAATATTAAACGGTGAATAATCTCACAATGTATTAAGATCTTTGGGAACTGATTTCTGATAGTTAAACTTACAAAACATGTAGGATTTGAACTATCTTTCGTTAACTGAGACAACATGTACTCTTAGATCAGTTCACTGTATCTTTTGTCATCGTGTTAGTTGTGTTGGTCTCAGTACCATGTTGGTGATAACAGTCGCTTTCAGCTTTATTGTAAGTTTATTTTGTCTTTGTATAACATCTTAAATATACAACGTTACATTGTAGGAAGAAAGTCGGCGTTCGCACGTATGTTTAACCTCAGCACAGTACGTGGTTTTTATTGGACCAATTGACTATTCAACTTCAAAATACTTTGGTTTTCCTCTGGGAAGATATTTTTTTACCGAAGCTATTGAATACTTATTCATTCTTTTACCAGATAAGAAAATTATTGTTTTCCGCAAAGTTGTCATAATTCGCTTAATTATTATCCATATCCCTTAAAAATTCAAAAGGTTTGATACCCACACTGTGTTGCAATCGGATAAAATATCTGCATTACTGATGTTATAAAGGACATAAGTGTATACTGATTTTTGCAAAATGTAATATTCGTATTAATTCTTGGAAATCTTGCAAACCAGAATTCATTAAGATTTGTCATTATCCCAGATACTTATTAAGACCAAACAACAAATTGGCAGTATTTGGCCACAGCCTTTAATATTATCATTCTCAAAATGTCTACATATTGTGTATACTGATTCAATATATGTTGGTACCGCAAATTGCTGGCAACCGAATTGTCAGTGATATATAATTAAACACAACACCATAAGTAATGCTAACTGAAAAATGAGGTTACCCGCAGATCGCTGATTATGACAACAGATATATATATACATTACTACCACAGATAATGGTAACTAAAGATAGGATTTAAACAATTTGTTCATCTGTAAAAAATGATCCTATTCATAAAACAAAATGTTTTTTGATACAGCGAATTATGCAGATCACAGGCTTAGTAAAGTCAAAGTCTTTGTTGGAAAGTTCCATAATTTCGATCCGACTTCTTCACAGATCCTGTCTGTCCAAATGGCCAAATACATTTAGGTGTTCAAACATTTTGACAACTTCAACATCACCTGAAAAAATTATAAATTACAACACAGCATTTTCTTATTCTAAAACATTGTATTTACAATACATATACATTTCTCGGAGGGAGGGAGGGTTTTTAAATAAAAATTTCTTCTGATAACAATAAGTTTAACATACGCAGCCTCTCCTGTTGGATCCGAATTAAAAAAGGATCGTGAAGTCAAATTGAATGGTTCACCAACCACCAATGAAATTAGAGTTTTCTAAAACTCACTTACCAAACCGACCAAATTGTACAGCGCACCGTGATAACTGAATTTAAGTGCAGGACTTAAATTCTATTATTGACATTGACATTTCACAATTATAAAATTGATAGTAGACGGGTCAATGAACTCTAACTACCACACAAATCCAGAAACCCATTTATTGATAGACTTTATCTTCTTAACAAATTTATTTTTTTCTTGACACACGGAAAAATCCCTTATTATATCGTGTATGCATGTTAATCACAATAAACCATAAACTTCGTGAAAAGAGAATTGGGTATTGACAATTTACTCACATGACACTAGCTAGAGGAAATCTTCATGCCTGACTAAATTCAACTCATTTTATCATAGAGACCAAAATCAAAATAAACTTGTCTACAAGTACTTTTTTTCTGCATCAGCCCAGTGTTGCACAGATTCCACTTATGGTTTATAAAAATATTATATCCACAATCAAAGACAATCTCATAACGAAAAGTTAGCAATTTCCAAACAACTAATTTGAAATATGTTGTTCTCTCTCCTGGAAAGTTATTCATCAGAAATATCAAGTACAATATACAAAACCTATATATATATTGAAACATACACAAATACAGAAGCAGAAGACTAAAATAAGTAGAGTTTACAAGATTTAATCCGAGTGTTTTAGACTTGTTCAAAAATCAAAGTTTAGTGATATGGAACGCACATTCATTACGAGTAGTTGCTTTTGGTATTATAAGTTGATTTGAGCGTGAGATTTGAAACACAAATGACGAACGCAAGGAAATAAAATATGGAACACATTTATTTGGATACAAAATTATATAAGGAATGAAAATATTGATACGCTTTGATATGAAAAATATAAAAGACTGGTATAGATATTTTCTTTCTTTTTTTCATTTTGACTTTTCATTCTTCTAGCCTTAGAAATCCCGCTTTAAATTTTACATTGCAAGTTTCCAAGTTGGCATTGTCTAAATTACAACTGAGAAGCTGTAATTATATGGAACTCACAAATATCAAATTGAGAGAGAGAAATGTCAACTGGGAAAATTAGGATGTCAACTTGGAATTCGGAAATGTAGACTAAGAGGGGAGAAATGTCAGTTTGAAAATGATCAATGTCATGCTTGATTGTATGTCCCTTGATACAAGAAAATATCCCGACCGGTCTTATGTGCGAAAAATTAAATATGAACACATTGTGATAAACAAGTTTTTGTGACGAAAAGTTATTTTCAACTTTACTAAATTCGTTATATCCGTGTGTTGGTGTTTGTGCTGTGTTGTTGGTTATATAAGTTTCAGGTCGTGCCTCTCACTCGTACACGGACGACAGATGCCAATGATACTTTTTTTACAGGATTGTCCTAATTCAACTGATAGCTTGATATAGGGGAGCCTGGTCACATAAATAAAATGAAGCTTGGACAAATCCTTGTCAGTGAAAATATATCCAAAGTCGAATAAAAGTTCAATACTATATTATCAAAATCACACGACTATAACAAAGTTACAAGTATAACAAAATGTACATCTAACTACACGGTCAACAATACGGTTCTCCTCTTATACTATAAACGTAACTGTCCTCTCCTCACTATAAACTCTCTCTCCTTTTCTCTCTTTTATATCACTCCTACTATCCCGGATACAAATATGGAATACAAGGTCAACCAGACAACTGGGCTCCAGTAATCCGGGCTTCTGGTGTTCCGTGCTCCTTACATAAAGGAGTAGGCCCAGTAAGATCCCTTTTGGCCCCAAAATATAGCATTTTTACAATTTTGTTATAATTTAAACTTTTAGATATTAATTGGAATGTAGAGAATACTTCTGTTCCATAAACATAGGCTATTTTAGACAAAACAATGCACATGCATCCGTTAATTGCATCATAAATTCGTGCAATATTACTGAAATCTTCACAATTTCAGCATTTATGCTAATTCTACGACGGTTTTTTACTAAAATGGAAGTGGCCGCATTGGTGCTCATTCTCAATATTTAAATATATATTGTATTTGATGATAATACATAACATATATAACGGTTATGACTGAACACGAATGAGGCCATTTCCATTTTAGAAAAAAACAACATCTGAAAAATAACGTTTTGTGGCATATTTGAAAGAATTTTCATATATAAGGTTGAATTTGAGCGCCTTTAAAGACCAAATCAGTTAATATCTTTAAGATAAACCAATTGAATCGACTGAAGTATACACCCAAATTTTTAAAAAATGTCAAAAATATTTCAGTAGATGTACTTCGATTATTAGGCCAAATCTGGCCCTTACCGGACATTCTCTTTTACTAGGGCACCATATGCAAATCATTAGGGATCACTAGTAAAACAAAGAAATCTAAATATAACTCTTAATTAATATCTCTGATAATCTCTAACTGTATTAAATGACTATTTGTGAAAATACAAATGTATGTAAACCTGATACAATTACGTAACACACTTAACCTAACATATGAAAATGTTACAATATATACAATATATACAAAGAAAGCAACATTAAACACAAGGTTGAAATGATTTAAACTAAAACATATTGAGGTCAATAGCGAATGTATTATTATGATAAATTTTAAAATAACACACTTTGAGATAATTAAGAAACACATTGAAATAATGAAAGGCTGCAATAAAACACTTTGGCACAACATAATGAATACAATGAAACAATTTTGAACACATTGGTATTAAAAGTGTACAACAATAAAACACTTATATAAAACAAGCAATATCGAACGCATTGAAATTGAAATCATATGATCATTCAAATTAAAAAAAAAAAAAAAGTGCAGTATGATTTGTATACTTGAAAACTTACTTATGAATCTTTTTTTCGCCACAGTTATGTGATTATGAAAATTTAGATATGCGAGTATATGGAAGGCACCCGTCTATAGCGATTAGCTGGTTTTCAGAATGATTTTTGTGGTCCCTGTACTTTTGTGACGTGACTGGCCGTTTGTCCGTAACACACGTATGGATATTGTATGCCCTGTTATTTTAATTGATTTTCGACACACTTAATGTACAAATTCAATATGGGATGGGATATGATCCTATTGATTTTAGAAGTCAAAGGGAAAGTTTTTATACTAATTCATATTGAATTCTCTGTTTCTTTGTACCCTTTTTAAAGTTGCAATACTCCCTAGTGGATTGGAAACAAATTGGAATCAACTACCCATTTCAATGTAGCAATATGTATGTTAGCGGCACCTGAGTATGGCATTGATGTATCAAACCTCATACGTCACTACGGAGTTTGTTGTAATAACAGAGATTTTTCGGACGGTATCAAACGGCTGATTGACACAGTGTGTTGTCCCACGATTTAGGTAATATCTTTGTAAGTTTTATGGTGGTCATCGCGAGATGATGTTGATAGAATTCACAATGATGCAGCAAATTGGTAGAAATGTTCCACTATATTTACCAGGAGACTGAGTTCTCATCAGAGATTAAACATACCAAAACACGCCACCCTTTAACAACGTTATTAAAACCACCTCAAAGCAATCATTTGGCGAAAAATTTTAAAACAATGTCGACAACTTAATAGCTTTGTTACTGAATAAAACTATAAGGAAAATGAGTACAAATAGGAGGAATTCAAAGTAAAAAATTATAATAAAAAAATATTGTTTAGTCATTTGGCCCCAATTGTCAATAGACATAAATGAATAATTTGATAACGCATACAATACTAAAATTTTTATTTTGCAATTTCACCAAGGAAGCTGGAAGCTTGTCGTCTAATAAGATTACATAAAATATTGACACCCTACCGGTCTTTTCTTCATTCTCAATTGAAATTAAGAATTGGTTTAGATAATAATGAATTTACTACCAAAATAAGAAAAATATTATTGTTGTCAGTATAACAGATATACAGGCAAGTATTTTTTCAAGCAAGTAAGTACAAAAATATATGATAATTACTATATTTGAGACGACCCCTTACATTTTACGCTTCTTGCCCTGTCGGTGTCGTGGTCAACTGCAGATGGAGAATGTAATTGACATAGACATAGTTAGGCACATGTGCACGGACTGGTACAGTAATTTTCTGTACTTTATAATTAAAGGGACAGACTTTAAAGAAAGAACATAATTAAAAGACATTTGATGTAATTAATTTATTTGCTATTGTTATAGTATTTCATAAAAAAAATTGCTAAGTTATCAATTAATATAACCTGATATATGTTTAAATATCCTTCTCATTTACTATAGTTTATATCTAATATACAGTGCAAATAAGTCTTTCTTTATAGTGTTATACTATACGAGTTAAGCATTCGAATGTCTTTGCCTTAAACGAAGAGATGATATTACGTTTTTTTTTTGTTATCTAAACAACATAAAGACAGATCAGAAAAGAAATATCTTAAAATACCTTACATGTACCAACTTGTTTTTATGTTTTGCATGACCCTGCGACGAAAAATATAGAAAAACTAATATTTTACCATATGTACCAGACAAGAAATGTAGTCTATATCAAATGGTACTCTGTAGTTATCAATGACAGGGTCCATAGTTGGTGAACACCACTAAAACAGATTATAAATCCGTGTAGCTCTTTAAAATATGAAAATGTTAGTTGCAACATCGTCACATATGATAAGTTAAAATACGATAAAAAAAATATAACAAAAAATACTAAACTCAAAGGCAAATTATAAAAATTGAAGTCCTTAAAAACTGACAAAATCAAATGCTATCAAATGCTACGAAACATGTGATAACAACTGTCATATTCCCTAATTGGTACAGATATTTCAGAAGAAAATGGTGGGTTTAACCTGATTTTATTGATAGCTAAATCTCCCATATGATATGTATGATAGTTGTTTGTAGTTCCGTTATATCGACACAATTGGGAAAGCAACACAAACAGACACAAAGTTAAAATTAAGTTAATATCAATGGTTAATAAAAAAGAAACAACACTATAAAACCCTTTGTGTCCGAATCGCACCTCATGATCCACCTGTACTAGGAATGCCCAAAGTAAAAAAAAAAAACGACGACGGAATGCATAAATACCATGCCACGTAAAACGTCAAACGACTAAAAGAAACTCTATAAAATAAAGTCGACCAGGAGAGGTGAACAGTTGGTTTCCATAGGAATGCCGACAATCTGCTGGAAAATTATACTTCAATATTCGAACAACTCAGTCATGAAATAAATATTCAGGAATGTTAAATATATATCACTTTTGATCTTTAATATACTTATCTCAGGTTTTGATATTTCATTTTTCGTGTCTGCTTGATCACAAATTTTGGCATAAACTACAGTTTGATCTGAAGCACTGAAAAAAAATAATATAAAATGCATTATTCTAGTAAAAAGATGCGTGTCTTATGATAGTTTTGTATAGTTGTTTCAATACATAAACACACTTATATGGATTATTTATGGGCCTATTACAGCTGACTATGCGGTATGGGTTTTGCTCATTGTTCAAAATAAACTCATCATAGATACCAGGATTAAAATGTTGTATTTGCACCAGACGCGCGTTTCGTCTACAAAAGACTCATCAGTGACGCTCGAATCAAAAAACGTTAAAAAGGCCAAATAAAGTACGAAGTTGAAGAGCATTGAGGACCAAAAGTTCCAAAAGGTTTTGCCAAATACAGCTTAGGTAATCTATTCCTGGGGTAGAAAAGCCTTAGTATTTCAAAAATTCAAAGTTTTGTAAACAGTTAATTTATAATTATGACCATATCAATGATAATTCATGTCAACACAAAAGTGCTGACTACTGGGCTGGTGATACCCTCGGGGAATAAAAACTCAACCAGCAGTGGCATACACCCAGTGGTTGTAAATAAACTCATGAGGCATAGTTGTTAATTTCTGTAAAAAAACATAAAGGTACATTTCATAGATTTTCTTTGTTATATTCCTTTGAGTCGACGTCACATTTATAAATCGGGCTACTTGAGAAACTAGTCATGAAAACGTTTTTTCAAATCTTAGCATGCACAATACAGAGTTAAATCGAACGATAACTCGACAGACGAGTACAACTGTACATTTAGAAAGTAACCGATGACATTAAATTGAGTTGTTCCCTGTCCCGCGGAAAAAAAAAAGCATTCGTAGTTACACATGAAAATGAAACGTGAATCCGCAAAAAGTCTTTCCGACACCTCTCGCCATAGAACCCCAGAATATTAATTGGTCGTCCGCTAAATGGTCGGCCGCGAATATATTTCTTTTGCCAGTAACTTAAGAGAATTTATACATTTGAAACTTTAATTTTTTGTTTCTAAAATTCGTGACTTAGAGACTAACTTTTATGTTTATTAATTCTTAAATTGGTGATTTTTCTGAATAGCCAAATATTATATCATCAAAATCAAGGAAAGAATTTTCATTTTTCATTGAAATGATTGATTGTTTGTTGGTTGCTTAACGTCCAGTGACAAATATTCCATGCATCTTTTGCCCCTCTTTTCCAAAGTATTTTGCGATTCGTCTAATGTATTAGTGTTGTTTCTGAAGTCGACTGGTGTATATGTTGGTTTGGGAATGAAACGACTACATCTTATTAAGCGGTCGTCAGATATTTGACAACGGCTTTCTTCATTATTTCTACATATAAAAATGAAAAAGTACAACTGGTACTGTTGCCAATGTCATTATTAAAATAACAATCGGAACCCTTTTTTCCTTTTAAAACGCCCATTTTTAAAGAAAATAATATGGAAATCACATTTTCAACAAACGAGGTTTTTTTATATACTTCACTCCTGTTGTAAGTTTGCTAACACATTTCCAGTTATGACGTTAATTTTATGAAATAATATTAGCTTTGACAAAAAATTAAACAAAAAAGCATTTAACCTTTATTCTAAAAAGCTGAAAGCCTTGAGCGCTTTACAATATTCTATGAATGAAAGAAATTATCATTCAGTTATTTCAATGGTGAAAAATACATGGCGAACTACTGACACATATACTCACTTCTTTTTTAGTCCTAATGGATGCCTTCTTACAGCAATATATTAACACGACGATACAAACTACACATACTAAAGGGATCACATATGCTAGATGTTCTACAATCAAACATATTGAAAACGAGTGTGTCTAAAATTATCATTTAGGATTTTTCATATATAAAGTTCGGTGTTCAAATTCTTAGTGTGTCGTTTTTTTCTGAGTGTTTTTTTTTTCATTATTATTAGTGAATGAATCAAAGCAGTTTTTTACAAAGGATTTATGTGCACTGTTCACGTATCATTGATATAGAATAAAACATTATTTGCTAGCAAAACATATTGCCGATAAATAGAAGAATCACATGAATATACCGTATGGCGTGTATCATTTTCGCTAAATGGGAAAATACAAGCGAAAAAAAACCCCTGATCTTTAAAGATGTGAACAACATAAATTTAATTGATTGACAAATAATCGATACCAAATAAATACATGTACTCCAAACTGAAATACACTGAATTCGAAGATCAGGTTAAGGACAAGAATCAATAGATCGTTGCTTAATTAATAACATTTTTGAACATGTCACTGATTTATGTGTTGTTTGAGTATGACATGGATCAGAAGTCGGTTTAACTATTATGAAAATGAGATCCTGATTAAATATTCAAATTCTGGTGAAAAGTCGATTAAAAAATAAGACTAGTGTTATAAATAATGTTATTTCACTTTTAGGAAGAAAAGGGGTTCATTTTAATGTCGTGTATACTTGACAATAAACAGTTTAATGCATATAGGTGAATGAAACACTTAAACAGTGATAACACTGATAATGTACAGGAAAATGTCAGCGAGGTCAAATTTTGGTGTTTCTTTATCTGCCACAAACAAAGAGAAAATTAAACACACGCAAACAAAAACCGATAAACGGTATCATTGTCATAACGTTTTATTTTTAATAACTTTTGTAAAAAAAGCTAAACTTTTGTGTGTTTTTGCCATTTGATTTATTTTGTTGTCATTCGGTTTACGCTACTGATATTGCACTCATTTATACGGACAACACAGCAGGTGCCAAATGTGGAGCAGGATCTGCTTACTTTCCCGGAGCACCTGAGATCATTCAGTTTTTGATAGAATTCGTGTTGCTCAGTTTAAGATTTTATTTGTTGTCTTAAGTAGACTGTTGTTTGTCATTTTGTAACTTTCTGTTATGATTTATGCTTTTGAGTATCCCTTTTGTAACTTCAAGGCTACCCTATAAAATACAGGGCCTTTTATAGCTGTCTATGTGGTATGGGTTTTACTTAATTTTGAAGGCCGTACGGTGACCTATGGTGTTAATGTCTGTGTCATTTGGTCTCTTGTGGAGAGTTGTCTCATTGGCAATCATACAACGTCTTCCTTATTTTATATTGTATATTGTATCGTTTAATTTTCTTTCGATATAATATATGAATTTGTTTCTTCTTTTTCTTGAAAACCTGTCTAAACCCATGGAGATTTAGTACTTATAGTAAACAAATAAGATGCTGTAGTATGATTTAAAAAATAGACAACTCAACAACAAAGAACAAATGATAAGGTTTTGACCAACTCTGCTTTTCAGTACGATCTTTAAACAATGAGTTATATCTTGTACTGTATTGTAAGCTAAAAAGGCCAAGGTGTGAATCCCTGGAAAATAATTCAAGAGAGAAATAAAAATCATAGGCCTGACTTCTTCTACAACAATCAACAAAAATATAATTATCGCAGACAACAATAAACGACAACTACTGAATTAAATGTTAATGCATGGACAAACTGGTAATGTGATGGGCTAATCATGATTTTGGCTCTTAACTTTCTCGTCCACTTGATGTAACAGAAAAGTTCACCACAAGGGACAATAGGCTATTGTCTCATTGGCAATCATACCACATCTTCTTTTTTTATATTACTGCTTTGAAGTTTACGAATGGTGTATGATAGATGGTAAAATATTATGTCAAATTAAATTATAGCAGGTCGCAGAGGTTTTGGTCTGACTCAAGAGTTAAATTTGTGTAGTTTTATACATATAGATTTATTATAAATAACATTCATATATTGTACTTATTAAAAAACAAGCAATCACTATTAAAGAGGAATATACTGTTCTTTTCAACTCAACTTCCAAACTTAAAACGAGAACTGAAGACGTTTCTAGATTTTCAGACTCGTTTTGATAAACTTTCAGAAAGTATATATAATAGTCTTCTTTTAAAAATACATTTTGATTGTAAAGGGTTTTTTTTCAACCAAAAAAAAACATAGAACATCAAAAGCATCTGAATAAAGGGTTAAAACGCACAGACATAACAACTGAGGTCCCAATTTGGATCTTTAGAAATTACTTTGACTCAGATGTAAAGCCCAATTGTAATCCAAGCAATTCTTTCTATTCTGAACAGTTGAGATATCTCGAAACTTAAATCATGTGTTTATAATGCAACAGTATTACAATAAACATTCTTACCCAATAAAATATTCGACGAATCTGATTCACATGAAGACACCAACTCATCAACTGTAAGTAAAGTAAATGCATGATCGATGAAAATGAAAGGGCATCAATAAGTCATCTACTGAACGTGCTATATAAATGACCACTGGTTTAACATTATTACGCTCAATGATCTCAATGATCAGTAAAATAATTGTGAGACAAAAACAATGATTACTTAGCCTTTTTTAGTGATTCCTCATATGTCACATGCATGTGTATTTCATATGAACGATACGACATATAAAATAATTTGTTTAGCTCATACCTTTCTATAATTTCTTATAGTAAAAGTAGATACACAGCATCTAGCTAAGATATATGACCAACTATTCGATTTTATACGATTATTTTCATTAGATATGCTAAATCTGTTTTGTGAAAATTTACCGTTTATTTGAAACGCTGAGGTTTTATACCCCGAAACATTTATGAGTTAAGCTGAATTTGGCATAAGCATGAATTTTTTACATGTCTTGTTCTTTAACTTCGACATGTTTTGCATCCAGTTTTTTTTTGTGTAGAATGTCATTGCCTTCTTTAAATTTCCATTTGCGGTAGTTTTTTTACTTTTAAATGTAATAACTTTCACTCGAAGCTCTAAGACTTTGCAACACTTTGGGATAAATAGCCTATAGTTTGTACAACTGATGAAACCTTCTATTTTCATTGCTCTACAACTTTTCGAATCGGGCGGCAACAATAACGTGGGCAGCAATGAGTCTTACATAGTCATGCCATGTAAAAGTGATGACATTTACAAAACATTTCTCAATGTCCTGGTGAATGTTTCATACTAAAAAGCAATAACAGTCAATTTGTCATCTGTTCTGACATAATATAATATTTATAAAAAGTAGGAATTAGTATTTGACTGATGTTTTTATCTAATTGCATACAATAATGTATAACGATTTCTATTTGAAAAAGAGAAAATCTATTTTATTCTCTTTTTTCTACTTATCTTGAATGAATTATGATAATAGTAAAGAACAATGTTTGCATATTTGATAGGGACAAGCTTGTAAAGTTTTGGGGCTCAAGCCCCAAAATTATATAATGTAACACAAGATATTCGTGTGCAACATCTAATGAAGTAAAATGTGAAATCTGATGCAAGTATATTTCTATTCAATTGTTTCTATCTCCAACTAAATATTTTGGGGCATATGCCCCAAAAAAATAACATGTTGTTTATTTGATAGCTTTACTAACATGTCTAAATGTTTGTTCTGTTTTGGTGTACGTGCCCCAAAACTCGTAGCAGTTGTTAAAAGTGATAAAATGTCGTCAGGTGTTGAACGAACATTTCTTAATATCTGTTCTGTATTTGGGTAGATGCACATCACAATTTAATACTTAGGGCTTAAAATTTTATACAGTGTATAGTATACTATATACTCTTTTCTCTTTATAAGAGATTGAATTTAAAGTTTTGCACACCAGCCTGCTTATCGTAATGGAAACTTCAATTTGAAAAAAACTTCTATGTGGGAATATAACGGACGAAAAATTATGTCTGTTAAGGTTAGAATTAAGGGAAAATACTTTTACAAAAACGGTGGTATACATGTATGTGGTTGAAAGATATTACTATTTATTCATGATCCGTTTTAAAGATAGTTGTATCGACTTTTGTAATTAAATGTTCTTTTTTTACTCGGTCCATTCGAAGTAATCTAATTCTCGGATCAAGTTCCGTTTGCCTAGTGCGTGGAAATATTGCATATTCCAAAGACCTAGTATATAGTATACAGCCAATAAAAAACTATTTTAAAATTTATTCGTATAGCAACATTTGGAACCATGCCTAATAATGCAATTTCCAAGAAAAATACTTTCAAACCAAAAGCAGATAAATACTATGTTAATTTAATTCTAATATGTTTATCTAAAATTAGTATGATAGAGAACATTCAGTACACTCCCTCCGACTACCTCGACTACCATTACTGATATAAATTGTTCATCGTAAGTCATTTAGAATAGTTATATACAAGAAAATATTGACAGTTTTAGCTACCTACGAATAGTTCTGTGGTACAGCTTATCAGAACAATTAAGAAATTTATGACGGATCATTCTGACAATTTCGAAGAAGGTTGAAAACGATCCAAAATGCTATTGTTCAAAGTATTGCCTTGACTGAATAACATGGTTTTGCTGCTAATTCTAAATACAATATAATATTAATATTAACCCAGATTGTTTAATTATTTAGGATATGGTTGTCCCCAAAGCTATTGTTTGATATATACGTTTTTAAGTAATCATTTTTATAACATTATAGTAAAATGATATGTGTCTTGTATTTGGATTCAATGTTGCAGTAAGTACTGGTACGTTCTTAATCTTCCTTTTTTTTGTCAATAAAATAGTATCGTCTTGTCTGTGTATTCAAAATATGTGCACAATTACAGGATTTACATACAATAAGTGGCTTTAAATATAATGCACTGATTTTATTTAAGTGAAAAGTGTGAGTACTAAAATATATTTAGAAAATGGACCTGTATTGCAAGCATCAACTTCGCCTTTAAATTAATCAATCATTCTTCAATCAATTGCAAAGAGTTTTATTGGTAAGTATTTGGAAGGTCAATAATTTTTGCTCTTATTAAGAGTCACACTGTCTCATCAGTTCTTATGCCCAAAATCGCTACACAAACAAATTTTGATTAACTGACTCAATACTGAATTTTTTTCAGCTCTCTTGTTTTCTTTTCTTCTTAAATCGATTTTGCAGAATACGCAAAATGTGTCCACATAAAAAGCTCAATAACACAAAGAATAGTGGGAATTTCTGTATATAATTTGAATTTTCTAATTCTAAGGTGTATTTTCTTAATTCTTGGTCCATCTTCAGCTTTAATGTTTTGGCTATCAATATCGACATATTCCCAGAATCTCATTCTCCTGATGCCAGTTTCTAAAATGAAAAGAGAGTAAAGAATGTATAACTGTTCATATATAAATGAAGGGAAAACAGCACACACATATATATATATATATATATATATATATATATATATATATATAGACATTTATCAAAGTCAGAGAATTAAAGTCGGATATTTAACGATTTCCATTGTTAACAAGAAATGATTGTAACAGGATGCTGTTACGAAGTCTCCCAAACGAAGCTCCTGTAATTCGTAATTCCAAGAGTCGCCTGACATTGGGCAAAGTCCAGTGAAAATTAGTTTGGTCCAGTAAAGTTATATGCATTAGTGATGCCTGGGGACTAACCCTGTATATCATTCAAATCATCTTGGCATGACAAACCAGAATATATATGGTTTAGGGGTGGGGATCTCGACCATTTACAAGATATTAGAACATTGGGGTGGGGGGAACCCCTGGGGACTGACCCTATACATCATTCAAATCTTAAAGACATGACGAACAGGAATATATATGGTATAGGGGTGGGGATCTCGACCATTAACAAGATATTAGAACATTGGGGTGGGGGAACCCCTGGGGACGGACCCTATATGTCATTCAAATGTTCAAGACATGACGAACAGGAATATATATGGTTTAGGGGTGGAGATCTCAACCATTTACAAGATATTAGAACTTTCACAAATGGCAGGGGGTCGGGATGACCCCTGGGGACTAACCCTGTATATCATCAAACCATCTTTGCATGACAAACCAGAATATATATGGTTTAGGTGTGGGGATCTTGACCACTTACAAGATATTAGAAATTTCTTAAATGGCAGGGGGTGGGGGTGATCCCTGGGGACTAACCCTGTATATCATTTAAACAATCTTTGCATGACAAACCAGAATATATATGGTTTAGGGGTGGGGATCTTGACCACTTACAAGATATTAGAACTTTCTTAAATTGCAGGGGGTGGGGGTGACCCCTGGGGACTAACCCTGTATTATATTTGATGTGCTTTATCATGACAAACCAGAATATATATGGTTTAGTGGTGGGGATCTCGACCATTTACAAGATATTAGAACTTTCTCAAATGGCAGGGGATCGGGATGACCCCTGGGGACTAACCCTGTATATCATTCAAACCATATTTGCATGACAAACCAGAATATATATGGTTTAGGGGTGGGGATCTTGACCACTTACAAGATATTAGAACTTTCTTAAATGGCAGGGGGTGGGGTGACCCCTGGGGACTAACCCTGTATTTCATTTGATGTGCTTTATCATGACAAACCAGAATATATATGGTTTAGGGGTGGGGATCTCGACCATTTACAAGATATTAGAACTTTCTCAAATGGCAGGGGGTCGGGATGACCCCTGGGGACTAACCCTGTACATCATTTAAACCATCTTAGCATGGAAAACCAGAATATATATGGTTTAGGGGTGGGGATCTTGACCACTTATAAGATATTAGAACTTTCTTAAATGGCAGGGGGTGAGGGTGACCCCTGGGGACTAACCCTGTCTTTCATTTAATGTGCTTTATCATTTTGAACATTTTCAATTAAAAAGATTGTGTCTATCACAAACAATTTTCAATTTATAATCTTTTGAAAATTTAAAAAAATAAAATCCCATAGGGTTCTATAGTAAAACCCTCCTTTCTTTTTGACCCTCATAGTACCCCTTTATAAATCCCATTGCACAAACAAAACCCTGATTGCACCACTAGACATGTTAGTCTAACATATTGTGGAACCCTAAGTTAATCTGACAAGCGGTTTTGGAGAACGGGTGCGGACAAGTTCAAATTTAAAAGCGGCGGAAGTAGAAGAAGAAGAAAAAGAAGAAGAAGAAGAAGAACTGAGCAAAACCAATAAGTCTTCCCAAACGAACTTCGTTTGGGAGACTTAATTATGTAATTATGTGAAGTTATTAGTTATTCGATCTTCAGTATCCAACCAGATGCCAGCAGTCGGTTCGATATTCAAATTTTCTTAGTTGAATATAACGAAAAATAAACTTTCGATAACATTAAAAGCATGATAGTAATAGTTAAAAGGAGTAAAAAAGAGATGTAGGAAATCTTGTTGTGATCAATTCAAGTTATCTTAAA